AAGGGATGATGACCTTTTTGGGATTGTACAATAGATCACCCAGTAGTAAGCGGGAAATGGATGGAGAATAATTTTTTAAGTTCTTACAAGAAAATGTTCTGATTCAGTATGTGGGTGTATCTACTAGAGAAGATGCAAAACTTGACTCACTCTTGGGGGAAATAAGGCAGGAGCAGTTGACTGAGGTGTCAGTGGGGGAGCACTTTGGGGCCAGTGACCATAATTCCATTAGTTTTAAAATAGAAATGAAAAAGGATAGACTGGATCGAAAAGTTAAAGTTCTAAAGTGGAGGAAGGCCAATTTTGACGGTGTTAGGCAAGGACTTCCAAAAATTGGAGACAGTAAGGACTGCAGATGCTAGAAGCCAGATTCTATAGATGCGAGGCTGGAAAAGCACAGCAGGTCAGACAGCATCAGGGGAGTAGGAAGGTCAACGTTTTGGGCCAAAACCCTTCATCAGGACTTTCAAAATTTATTGTGGGTGGATGTTCACAGGTCAAGGGACGGCTGGAAGCCCTCAAAAATGAGACAACGAGAGTCCAGAGACAGGATGTTCCTGTTAGAGTGAAGGGCAAGGCTGGTAGTTGTAGGGAATGTTGGATGACTAGAGAAATTGAAGTTTTTGTCAAGAAAACGAAGGAAGCTTATGTCAGGTATAGAGAGCAGAGATCGAGTGAATCCCTAGAAGAATATAAAGGCAGTAAGAGTATACTTAAGAGAGCAATCAGGAGGGCAAAAAGGGACATGAAATAGCTTGAGGAAATAGGGTTAATGAGAATCCAAAGGGATTCTACAAATCCATTAAGGACAAAAGGGTTAGTCTTCTGCTCCTATGATGCTGCTTGGCCTGCTGTGTTCATCCAGCCCTGCACCTTGTTGTCTCGGATTCTGCAGCATCTGCAGTTCCTACTATCTCTGATTCAATTTTAACCCCCTTAAAGATCAGCAAGGCTGCCTACATGCAGGAGATGGGGGAGGTACTAAATGAGTGTTCTGTGTCAGTATTTATTGTGGAGAAGGATATGGAAGATATGGAATGTGGGGAAATAGGTAGTGACACCTTGAAAAATGCCCATATTACAGAGGAGGAAGTACCGGATGGCCTAAAATGCATAAAGGTGGATAGATCCTCGGGATCTGATCAGGTGTACCCTAAAAGTCCGTGGGAAGTTAGGGAAGTGATTGGTGGGTCCCTTGCTGAGATATTTGTATCATGGATAGCCACAGGTGAGGTGCCAGAGGACTGGGGGTTGGCTAATGTGGTGCTAATATTTAATAAAGTTAGTAAGGAAAAGCCAGGGAACTATAGATCGGTGAGTCTGACATCAGCGGTGGGCAAGTTGTTGGAGGGGATCCTGAGGGACAGGATTTACATGTGTTTGGAAAGACAAGCACTGATTAGGGATAGTCAACATGGCTTTGTGCGTGGGAAATCATGTTTCACTAACTTGATTGAGGTTTTTGAAGAAGTAATGAAGAGGATCGAAGAGGACAGAGTGGTGGACCTAATCTATATGGACTTCAGTAAGGCAGTCGACAAAGTTCCTCATGGTAGACTGGTTAGCAAGGTTGGATCACATGGAATAGACGGAGAATTAATCGTTTGGATATAGAACTGGCTCAAAGAGTGGTGGTGGAGGGTTGCTTTTCAGACTAGAGGCCTGTAATCATAGGTGTGCCATAAAGATCAGTGCTGTGTCTACTGCTTTCATCATTTATATAAATGATTTGGATGTGAACATTGGAGGTATGGTTAATTTGCAGATGACACCAAAATTGGAGGTGTAGTGGGCAGCAAAGAAGGTTACCTCAGAGTACAATGGGACCTTGATCAGATGGGCCAATGGGCCGCGGAGTGGCAGATGGAGTTTAGTTTAGATAAATGTGAGGTAAGGCAAATCAGGGCAGGACTTATACACTTAATTGTAAGGTCCTGGGGAGTGTTGCTGAACAAAGAGACTCTGGAGTGCAGGGTCATAGTTTGTGGAAAGAGGAGTTGCAGGTAGGCAGGATAGTGAAGAAGGCGTTTGGTTTGCTTGCCTTTATTGGTCAGTGCATTGACTGTAGGAGTTGGGAGGACATGTTACAGCTGTACAGGACATTGGCTAGGCCACTATTGGAATATTGCACGCAATTTTAGTCTCCCTGCTATAGGAAGGATGTTGTGAAACTTGAAAGGGTTCAGAGAAGATTTATGAGGATGTCGCCAGGGTTGGGGTGTTTGTTCTGTACTGAGAGGCTCAATAGCCTGCAGCTATTTTCTCTGGAGCGACGGAGGCTGAGTGATGACCTTATAGAGGTTTATAAAATCGTGATGGCCATGGATAGGGTAAGTAGGCAACACGTTTTGCCCAGGGCAGGGGAGTCCAAAACTAGACGGCATAGGTCTAAGGTGAGAGGGGAAAGATTTAAAAGGGACCTAAGGGGCAATTTTTTCAAACAGAGGGTGGTGCATGTATGGAATGAGCTGCCAGAGGAAGTGGTGGAGGCTGGTACAATTACAACATTTAAAAGGCATCTGGATGGGTACATGAATAGGAAGGATTTAGAGGGATATGGGCCAAATGCTGGCAAATGGGACTAGATTTATTTAGGATATCTGGTTGGCATGGATGTATTGGATTGAAGGGTTTGTTTCTGTGCTATACAGCTCTATGACTCTATGACACTATGTCAGGAAAAGAAATCTAGCATTGGTGCATTTTTAATAGTGACATAAGAATTAATAATGGCATGGCACAAAAACTATAATTCTACAAGTGTGGAGATTCATTCCTTCAGAACATTTGATGGAGAATTAAAAAGTTGAACGTTAATTGAAGGAAACTACTTCCATGTTTCATGAATCTATGACTCATGATTTTACATTGAATTAAATATTGTAACTCATAGTTCAAGGTTTAGACTCTAAGTGCATCTGCAAGGGTTTCCTTCTTTCAATCGAATAATAGATACGTTGTTTCTTATCCTGCTCGGATGTCCCAGATATCCCGCAGAGGGGCAAAACTGAGAAGTAAGTCTAAATACTGGATTTTTCACTCACGAAATAAATAAGTGCTTGTGTGATTTTTGGGGAAATGTTGTTGAATAACGGGTCATACTGTTCCTTGAATTACAGCACCTCAAAATGAGCCAGACTTCACAGATTGTGCAGAGGATCACTTCTGGCCAGTGCTACAAGAACAGACCATAAGATGGATTGATGGATAAATGTAAGTACACTCCTTTACGAGTGAGTGTCTCTGGAACCCTTACTCAAATAGCCACTCTTCATTCCCAGACCTCATTGCCTAGCAACGTCAGCCTTTTGTGAATCACTCTCACCTCCGATCCCATCAAAGACCTTCCCCTTTGGAATACATTCCAAACCTGTGACTTCTGTCTTGTCGAAAGACAAGAGCAACAGGTGCACGGTTTCGCACTGAAGTCATTCCAGGCTGGTGTCACAGATTTCTGACTGACAATACAGTCAAAGGTCATCGAGGGACGGGCAGGGAGATGGAATCAAAGCCACAAGCAGATCAGCTGTGATCTTGTCGACAAAGGGGTCAAGTGGTCCACCCCTATCACTCTTATCTTCAAGTTCCCCGAGCCACACGCCATTTTGACTTGGAAATATATCCCTGTTCCTTCATCATCTTCTGACAGAATCCCGGACCCTATGTTATTGCAGGGGAATATTCACGCACTGGTTTAAGATGGTGTTACCTTCTGAGAGGCCACTGATGGTGACCAACACACGCCAGTCCTACCAATGATGCCCACATCCCAGAAATAGTTTTAATCACATCTGGAGCCAAGTCTGTACCAGTCTAGTGGTGTACATTGTGCCCAACTGGGCACACCAGCCAACTTTGAACATAGAGTAGGCCGCTCACCACTTCCTTGGCCAAGGACAGTTAGTGGCATCAGAAAATCAGAGATGCAGGACAGAAAATAGATTTTTTCACTGTAAAAAGGTATTTCACTATAAACATGACAATACAAGGAAAGCAATGGTTCTCAGCTCTCAATATTCAGCTTCCTGCTTTAAGAAGTTAGTTGTTATTCTTAACCAAATATTTGGATGGTATCAAGTCGTTCTGAGCCTGACTATGTTTGTGTGGCATTGCTAATCAATTCTGCTATTGGTGTTCACTGTGCCCTTCTCTACAAACTGAGAGGTGCCCGCTATCTCCACAAATATCGACACTCACGCTCTGTACAATTCCAAGCGAGTGCTAGAGGAACTGTCTTATGCATTAAATGCTAAATTGAAACCCCATCTGCCTTCTTATATTAATGCAAAAGATCCCAGAGCAGTATTTTGTAGTAAGTAAGAGGTTCTTCCCAGTATCCCGGCCAACATTCATCTCTCAATCAATACCTAAAACAAGTGATCTGGTCATTACTTGCATCTTTACTTGTGATGGCATGCTGTGTACTTATTTTTTACATTCGACCAAAGTTTAAGAAAATTATTCATTGTCTGCAAAGTGGCTTGAGACATTCCGAGGGAGTGGAAGTTACTATGTAAATGCAAGGTTTTTTATTCTCTTAAGACAGTAACCACCACTCTTATACATTCTTCCACACGTCATCCCTCTTTTGCACTGGGTAGAAGACAAAGGGGTTAACCAAGCAGGATACCCTTGGTTAGAGTCCACCCGTTGTCTCTTCCACAAGTTTGTGGGGGGAAACTGAGCTCGATTCAGTCATGGGTAATCCCACTGTCCAATTTTCCACTGAGTGCTCCAATTTATACAATTATTGGAAATGAAATCATATCCCAGCAACTCCTCTCCTTTAAACTGCTCTAAGAACCCCTAAACACTTTCAAACTTGCTTTGCCCTGCAATCTAAATGCTTTTAAATCTAAAGCTTGGCAACTAATTCCTAATTCATGATTTACCTTGTACTTCTGTTGGAATTACCCTGGTATCCGGTGTACAGACCCCATTCTTTCACTCCCCAATGCTCAGCACGAGAGAGAAATTATCAGTGTGAATATTTTACTTACCCCTTATGCCAGTGCACTGTCCAAAGACGATTGTGAAGGCCAGGAGATACAGCAAATCCATCCTCAGCCTACTGCCTCTGTGCATCAACACGATTGCCTAAGGCTACAGAAGGTGAAACAAAGGGAAAAAAACAAATTAGCCTGCTTGCCCATTCCTTGTGTGGTTTCCTGGTATGGCCAGGATATTGAGATTGGCAGCATAGGCACTTCAACAGCCACCACACAGGTAAGAATTGGCAATGCCAACACGGTGTCCTCAGGGAGAGAGTCTGACCCAGACCACAAGCATCTGGATAGCATTCCTCACCTGTACCAGGGAAGGAGAGTGATCACGTTGTTATATACAATGGAGCACTACTGTGTATAACACAAGACTATGTTGAACTATACAAGAACAAAGTTGCTGGAAAAGCTCAGCAGGTCTGGCAGCATCTGTGGAGGAGAAAACAGAGTTAATGTTTAGGGTCCGGTTCTGAGGAAGGGTCACCGGACCCGAAATGTTAACTCTGTTTTCTCCGCCACAGATGCTGCCAGACCCTGCTGAGCTTTTCCAGCAAATTTGATTTTGTTCCTGATTTACAGCATCCGCAGTTCTTTTGGTTTTTATGTTGAACTATAATAGAGCAGAGGGAAATAAATTATACACAGCCAGATTGTTGCATATGATACACTGGAGATATTACAGCTATGTTAACGTACCAGGAAGCAAACATACTATTTATAATAATGCTGTTTTACTAAGTAAAAACCAAAAGAACTGCGGATGCTGTAAATCAGGAACAAAAACAGAAGTTGCTGGAAAAGCTCAGCACGTCTGGCAGCGTCCGTGAAGGAAAAAAACAGAGTTAACGTTTCAGGTCCGGTGACCCTCCCTCAGAACAGGGTCTTCCTCAGAACCTTCTGAGGAAGGGTCACCAGACCCAAAACATTAACTCTGTTTTTTCCTTCACAGATGCTGCCAGACCTGCTGAGCTTTTCCAGCAAATTTGTTTTTGATGTTGTTGTTGTTGTTGTTGAATGCTGTTTTACTGTTTTAATCAGATTACTTTACCAGTTGTAATAAACACACATATATACACATGTATGGCATATATAATTTGCAGACTAGTGATACCAAATATAGAGATAGCGTTCGATATTGTTCAATTATACAGTGAGATTTGAGTGTAGGAGTTGGGACGTAATGTTGAGTTTGTACAGGACGTTGGTGAGGCCTCTTCTGGAATACTGTGTCCAGTTCTGGTTGCCATGTTATAGGAACAATATTCAGAAAAGATTTACTAGAATGTTACTGGGAATGGAGGGTTTGAGATATAAAAATAGACGGAAAGTCTGGGATTTTTTCCACTGGAGGTTGAGAGGTGAACTTACAGAGGTTTATAAAATCATGAGGGGCATAGATAATGTGAATGACAAGGATCTTTTTCCTTGGTTGGAGGATTTCAAAACTAGGGGGCATATTTTTCAAGGTGAGAGGAGAAAGATTTAAAAAGGACATGAGAGGCAATTTTTTTACACAGAGAGTGGTTCGTGTGTGGAATGAGCTTCCAGAGGAAGTGGTGGATGCAGATACAGTTACAGCATTTAAAAGACATTTGGATACGTTTATGAATAGGAAAGGTTTGAAGGGATATGGGCCAAGCGCAGGCAGGTGGGAACTAGTTTAGTTTGGGAACATGGTCAGTATGGGCTGGTTGGACCGAAGGGTCTGTTTCCATGCTGTATGACTCTACGACTGTATTTAATACATACATTGTGCATAACTCAGAACAGCAATACTGTATAGAATACAGAGCTGTTCTGTGGTATGTAAGAAATACATTATAGTGCATAATAGAACAGTGTTACAGTGTATAATACCCGAACACAATAATGTTACTGTATATAATGGAGCTGTGTTACAATACAATACAGAAGTGTTTCAATATATATGCACTGAATAGAGTTCACAACACCATTTCTGTAGATAATACAGAACAGTGTTATTCTAAACAATTTAGAACCAAAAATAGGTGCATTTCTGTATGTAATACATAGAGCTGTCATATTGTTTAATACCCAGAGCAGTACCGCTGTAAATAACAGAGCATTGTCCTTATGTATGTAAAAAACAATACTCCATTGATTGTGAATTTGATAGCCTGAGGTGGCAAGCTGTTGTATAAAATTGGAATTTTTTTGTTATTCTTTACACCAGTCAGTTTTACTATAATAGGCAGAGCAGTTTCTCTTGAAACAATGTTGTGTTCTATGATATAAATAGTTGTATTGTAATGTGCAGTACGTTAAGCCATGTATCAAATATGGAGCCTTATGACTATTATACAAGAGTCCTGCTATTATATAGTGTATAGGGTGACAAAATGTATAATACATGTTTTGTATTTAGAAAGAGGTTGCACTCTTGCCTCTGACTCAGAAGATTGTAGCTTCAACCTCCACACCAGAGATTTCAATGCAAAATCTAGGCTGGGATTTCAATGCAGTAGATGTTGGTGTGTTCGCCAGGCTGGGAGGCTTGGTAGCAGACTCTCAGCTCGGCGAACACACCAACATCTATAACCAGCACCCGAGCTACAAATCTCCACTCAAACCCTGAATTTCAATGCAGTACTGAGGGAAAGCAGCATGATCAGATGTGCTGCTATTCTGATGAAATCCTAAACCAAGGCCTTGTCAGCTGGACATCAAAGAATCAGCTGTATTAGTTGAAGAGCAGGGAAGAACTCTTACTGTGATGGGGCATATTTATTCTTCAGCAACATCACTCGAAGAGATTATCTGATCGATGATCTCAATGGAGGTTTGGAACATGCTGTCAACAAACTGGTAGTTAGAGTTCCAAAATTACAACACTTTGTAAGGATATCATTGGCTGCGAAACCCTTTGGGAAAATCTACGGTCATAAAAAGCGTTCTGTAAACGCAAGTCTTATTTTCTTTACACACGGTAGCCTGGCTTTAGCAGATTGCAATATTACCGTACATAATGTGTGAGCAATACGACACATGATACATAGAGAAGCCTCACAATACATAGCTGTATTATTGTAAAACAGAAGTTTTACTGTATAAACGCACAAAGCAATATTAGCAAGCTATGTATGGTATCTCATATACAATACAATGGTGTGATAAATAATAAAGAGGGCAGTGTCACTATACATATATTGCGCAGAGCTATGCTATCTTTATATTATACACAAAGAGAAAATACGTTGAGTGTTACTATATTAAATAGCCTCCTAAACAACAGCATTGTTACAATATACAGTAATATTACAGAATTTATCTGCTGCATGATTGTATATCCCAGAAGAGTTAAAAGGAGCTAAAGGCCTGTATTTATATGATCCTCATTTGTCACCACAGCACATCCCACAGCTCTTTTAGTTCCCTTTTAAAAATGTACAGTGTTAAAATATAGGCACATAATCGGGCGAACTGTAATATTCAAATTAATAAATTAACTTAGGTAACAGAAAGAGAATGTTATGACATAAACTATCATACCTCTCTGATATACTTTATATTCTTCACTGTAATCTCCTGAGATGTTTCATGTCCCACACTATATCACTCTTATAGTCATCGTCATACAGTCATAGAGTCATACAGCATGCAAACAGACCCTTTGGTCCAACCAGTCCATGCTGACCATGTTCCCAAACTAACCTAGTCCCACCTGCCTGTCTTTGGCCCAGATGCCTCCAAACCTTTCCTATTCATGAACTTACCCAAATGTCTTTTAAACTTTGCAACTGTACCCACATCCACCACTTCCTCCGGCAGTTCATTCCACACATGAACCACTCTCTAAAAAAGTTACTCCTCGTGTCCTTTTTAAATCTTTCTCCTCTCACCTTAAAAATATGCCCCTGGTTTAAAATTCCACACCCATGAAAAGACTCTTGTCATTCATCTTACCTACGCCCCTCATGATTTTATAAATCTCAATAAGATCACCCCTCAACCTCCTACATTCCAGTGAAACAAGTTCCAGTTTCTCCAGTCTATTTTTATATCTCAAACCCTCTGTTCCTAGCAACATCCTGGTAAATCTTTTCTGAACTCTTTTGAGTTTAATAATATCCTTCCTATAACAAGGCAAAGGAAGCCTCACCAAAATCCTGTACAACCTCAACATGGTATCTCAACTCCTATACTCTGAGCAATAAAGGCAAGCATGCTAAACACCTTCTTAACCACCCTGTCTACCTGTCACACAAATTTCAAAGAATTATGTACTTGAATCCCTAGGTCTCTCTCTTCTGCAACATGATCCAGGGACCTACCATTAATTGTATAGGTCACTGTTCTTGCTTGTTTTACCAAAATGCAATACCACACATCTATCCAAACTCCATCTGTCACTCCTCAGCCCATTGACCCAACTGATTAAGATCTCTTTGTAATCTTAGATAACCTTCTTCACTGTCCACTATACCATCAATTTTGGTGTCATCTGCAAACTTACTAACCATGCCTCCTACATCCTCATCCAAATCATTTATATAAATGACAAACAAAAGTTGACACAGTATTGATCCCTCTGGGACACTGATGGTCCATAAAGCAACCCTCTACCACCACCCTCTGTCTCCTACCTTAAATCATAGCCCTTGATGCTTCTGATTGATGTAACTGTCTAACATCTCCTACAATTGTTCCTGTAACATTAATACAAAACACAACATTCTTTGTAACACTAGAATACATCTTAAAACTTAAATGTAATCCTCTGAGATGCTACATTTATAATAACAGCAGCTCTGTAATAAGCACTACAGCCCTCAGAGTAGCATTGCTTCCTATTCCCTACAATGCTCATTGTAACTCTCACATAACTCTCAAGCTTCAGGGCAATTTTGTTAGATATCTCATTGTTGATTGTGTAATACACTCTTGTATTCTCCTCACTCCTCATTGTAACATTTTGATATACTCCGCACTCCTCACTGTAATGTTACATATGCCGCACACTCCTCACTGCAATATTATATACCCCACACTCTTCACTGTAATATTATCATAAACTCTACACTCCTCACTATAATGTTACATATACCCCACATTCCTCACTGTTACATTTTATGCCCCACACTCCTCACTGCAACATTCTATTCCTCAAAATAACACCACTCACAAGTCCCACAGATTCAGGGCAACATTGTCTCATATGCCATTTTAATATTCTTATATGACACTGATTTATATTGAAAATGTCTCTATATCCTATCCCTCACTGGCAAATTCTTAGAATCACTGAAAGTCTCCTTTATAGAAACTCTATTTTATAGATTTCCAATATTCTTTTCTGAACATTAAACCTGGAGCCTAACCAAACACAAAGGGACACAAATAATCTGAATGGTTTTCTTTTAAATAATAAACTGAACTCCAAAAGCTGAAGAGCAGAAATTAAAATTATGGCTAACTGTGGGTCCTGATACTAATGAAGTCAGGACCGAGGAAAGAGTGTTTTCAACAACATTATTTAAATGACTTGCTTTTTAAATCAAGCTTTTATTGCAGTTTATATCTCCCCATTCCCAGAGCTTTGAGTAAAAGTAGACCCTTTATGCTCGATTGTACCCAGTTGCATTAAACTTACATTATCAAGGAGATACCAAAGGTCGTGGAAAACTGCACCTGAACTCCTAATATTCCCCAGCCCCATGGTTCCTCCTCTGACACTTTCAATATTCCTTACCCTCTCTGTTCTTCCCTGAGTCATATTTCTCACTCTCTTTGGCTCATTTCTCACATTCGTTTGCTCCTCTCCTTCCCTTTCTTTCCATCTTTTCCCTCTGTCCTCTTCTGTATCTCTCGATTTTCGCTCGCTCTCTAACTCAGCCTCTTCTAGCTCCGACTTTACTATCGATTTCCATCTGCCTTAGTGTGTGTTGTGTGTGTGTGTGTCTGTCCATCTGTTACTCTCACTCTCTCTCACACACACACACACCCCTTCCCTTAAAGCAATCCGCGAACACTCTAAACATATATATATATGTATATATTTTTTAAAAAAGCTCAACTTACCCACAATGTCTGCGCCCACCAGTATAGACAGTTTTCCATAAAGCTCTTAAATCAATGAATCAAACCATTGCTGAACCAGCCTAAACATCACAGGCAGTGTTCCAATACTAAAACAATTAAAATAAAAAACTGGAGGGTTTGTGAGTAAATATATATATGTATATATTATAAAAGGATTTGTTAATTTCCAGACTTTGTTGGTCGGAACCAGCGGTTTAATTGCCACTGTAAGGTCCCTAAGACTTTCACATCCCTTAAAGGCTTCACTGATATCAGTAGTAACTGACTTCCTTTTCCATGTAGAGGTAGAATTCTTTCGCTGAGATTGCGAGCTGGTACGATTAGCAGCACCCCCCCGCCCCCTCCCCCTGTCAGGTTGGCGGTGCGGGACACACTGTTGGACCCACTTTTAAAACAGTTCCAAACTTTTCACAGCGACTCCAAACTTTTCAGCTACTTTTGCCATCCACCGCCCTCTGCTGTAAGATTCAACCCATTGCCCGTGTGCTGCTAAGAAGTTGAGTAACCCACCAGAATGGGACTCAGTCAACCAGCTCTTTGTTAACATTCACAATGTTTGTTTTAAAAAAAAACCAAGATCCAAAGCATCAGCATCTTTATTTTGTCAAACCAGCCACTCTTTCCTTATGCTGTTAGCTGCCATTCAGCTTGAGGTAGTGCACCCCCGAAACATCTCCTGTTCCTGCTGTGTTCATCCAGCTCTACATCTTGTTATCTCAGATCTTCCAGCATCTGTAGTTCCTACCATCTCCTGTTCCTACTCTGTTTAGAAAAACACTTTCTGCGAGGTCTTTTTTTTTTCAGAAATCATGACCAAGACGTTTGGATAGATTCCTGATCTCATCTCCCTGGCTTGGGTAAACTGAGACGAAGTCTCATCCAGAATCATAGAATCCCTACAGAGTGGAAAGAGGCCATTCAGCCCACCATCTTAACAAACTGATACCCCTGCCCACCCTATCACCCTGAATTTCCCATGGCTAATCCACCTAACCTGCACATTTCAGGCAATTTCCCATGGCTAATCCACCTAACCTGCACATTACAGGCAATTTCCCATGGCTAATCCACCTAACCTGCACATCTTTGGACTGTGGGAGGAAATATGACTCAGGGAAGAACAGAAAGGGTAAGGAATATTGAAAGTGTCAGAGGAGGAACCATGGGGCTAGGGAATATTAGGAGTTCAGGTGCAGTTTTCCACAGCCTTTGGTATCTCCTTGAGGATGTAAATTTAATGCACTTGGATGCAATCAAGCATAAAGGGTTTCCTTTTACTCATAGCTCTGGGAATCGCAAGATCTAAACTGCAAATCCACACAGACACAAGGAGAACACATCCACATAGGCAGTTACCAATGGCTAGGATTGAACTCAAGTCCTCAGCACTGTGAGGTAGCAATGCTAACCACTGAGCCACCATCCAGCTCAGATTTAGGTTGTAACCAAAACAGAAATTGCTAGAGAAACTCAACAGGTCTGGCAGCACCTCCAAGAAGAAAGCAGAGTTAACATTTCGCATGTGAAGACTCTTCATCAGAAAAGTTCTTCCCTCCACAGATGTTGCCAGGCTTGCTGAGTTTCGCCACCAATTTCTGTTGTTTCAGATCTCTAGCATCTGCAGTTCTATGTATGATTTAGTTTATCAGTTATCTAAGCATGGGATTGAAATAGATACTGGGCCCTTACTGATCGGACTTCTTTTGAAACAAAAAGGAATGTTTTAAGGTAGCCTCAGTTTTACTGAAATCCCCAGAGAGAGAAATCTCAACAGTGAAATGCAATGCCGTTGATTCTCTGCTAATTAGACTTCACCATGAGCACTTTATATCTTGATATGAAGGTAAAGTTTCCATAATCTGACCTGACCATGGGGCTGCTCTCTGATTAGAGGGAACCAACTGGTGGTGATTTAACCTGAGGATCTTCACACCATAGGTGAGGGGGGCAAGTTGAGAAAGAGAATCCTTCATATATTAACATCAGTTAGTGCAGGAATTGAAACCTTGCTGTTGGCATCATAGTGCGCTGCAAAGTAGCCATCCAAACCAAGTGAGCCAAGCCAGCTCCTATTTATGCCGTGGCTTTGATCGAGAAAGATGTTAGGTTCTGTCCCCGGCCTATTCCATCCAGGGTTGCTACAGCTGAAATGAATGGCCCAGGTATTTCCAGAATGGAGTAACAGGTCAGGACCCTGTGGAATCCCAGACTCTGTGAGCATTTCTGTAAGATGGTGATGGAATGGGCTCATCCAGTCTGTCTACTCTTCTTCCTTTTCTTCTTTCTCCTTTTTTTTTCGCCTTTTTGGTTTTAGTTTTTTTTCTACTAACTTAATCTGTGGAGAGTGGCAGCGGTGACGGCAGTGCTGGTCTAGATATCCGGTGGGAGGCAGCTACTGGGGGCCTGATCTGGGACTCTCAGTGAGTTCCCGATGCCCAGCGCGGTGGAGTGAAGGTGAGACCAAGGATCAGCATGGACGGCGCCTGGATCGGGGCTTTGGTGGTTTGAGATCCAACGTGGCGATGGAGTCTCCCCCCTGACATCTGCAATGATAATGAGAGCAGGGGAGATTGGTCCAGCATGGGAAAAGTGTGCCAAAGTGGAGGAGATCAAGCCCTTGTAAGGAAATGCAGTCTCAGCATGGCTAAGCACTAAAGAAAGACTGCAATGGTTGAACGTTTAACCTTATTTCTTTATTTTTCAACTTAATACTGAGAGTGACTGCAATGGTTAACTTTTAACTTTGTTCCTTATTTCTTTCTACCTTGTTCTTAAGTTTTTGTACTTAGGCACTTGTACCTAAGATGACATTGAAAACTTTTCACCGTATTGCTGTACTCGAGTACACGTGATAATAGTCTAAATCTAAAAATCTAAAATTGAAGATTCGGTTGGGCAATCCCCCTGAGCCTAGAATACTTAACACCAGAGAATTCAGAGGCCTCTATTCCCGCAAAGTTAATCGTTGCCCAGAAAACATTAGATGGTTAAATATCTGGAACAACGTCAAAGTAACTGCTAAGGTGACCCATGCATCCTCAACTGCGCGTCCCTGGAACCCCACCCAACATAATTCCATTTCTCAGGGACTTGGCAGCCCCTCCCTTGATACTCGCCCACTCCCACCCCATCACCAACTGGCCCTGACAATATATCCCACCATCCCCAAATCCCGCTGGGCCCTGACATTTCCAACTGGCAATCTATCCCCTGCCATTCCCCCTCCCATGCCACCACAACAACAGCCCCCAAATCCACTCCCCCACCCCCCACCTCTGGGAGCCCTGACATTCCTCCCTTTGACAATGCAAAATTCTCTCACCCTACTGGTCCCATTTCCCCCCTCACCCAATGAAGGGATGTGGGGAGAGGGTGGGATTAGGATATTGAGCTCAATGATCAGCCATGATCAAGGGCCTACTCCTGTTCCTATCTTTGGAGCTTGCACATTCTCCCTGTGTCTGCCTGGGTTTCCTCTGGGTGCTCTGGTATCCTCCCACAGTCCAAAGATATGCAGGTTAGGGTGTATTGTCCATGCTAAATTGTCCCATAGTGTCCATGGACGTACAGGCTAGGTGGGTTAGCCATGGGAAATGCATTTTTAGAGGGATAGGATATCGTGGGTGGATCTAGATAGGATGCTGTTCAGAGGGTCAAGTTAAACTCGGCCGGTCAAAAGGCCTGCTTTCATATTGTAGGGGTTCGATGATTCTAATTGCTACAATAAATTGGCACAAAGCAAGTTCCCGAAAACAGCAACGTGTTAATGACCAGATCGTTTGTTTTTGTGGTGTTGATTGATGAACATAATTGGGCCAGGGGGTCTCCCACCTTTTCTACTTTGAAATGTTGTCAAGAGATTCTTTTTTACATTTACCTGTGAAGGCCTTGCTTTAGGGTCTCCTGGAAAAGATGGTGCTTCAGTACAGCACTCCCTTAGTACTACACCATATTGATTTTTGGGCTTAACTCAAATTGGAAAGGGGACAAAATAGAGTGGAAAAATAAGGACTGATTTCAGTGTCATAAATCCCAAGACTCTTTCAGCTAAATAAATGGGCCAGCCATTTCCTGATCTTTCTTGCTATGCATGCTGTTGGGATAAACTAACAACGCAAGGTGGGACTTAAGTGGTACAGCCAGCTCCTGCCTCTGTGCTCATGTGTAGATGTACCTTCAGGATACAGTAGCTAAATTGAATCAATTAAATATTCCCAATATCTTACTATGATTTTGATGGCTAAGTTTACATCAATGGAGCTGAGGTGGAGATGGTTGAGACCATCAAGTTCCTAGGAGTGACGATAACCACCAATCTGTTTTGGATCACCAACATTGATACAACAGTCAAGAAAGCACAACAACACCTTTACTTCCTCACGGAGGCTAAGGAAATTCGTCATGTCAATAAAGATTCTTACCAATTTTTACAGATGCACCATAGAAAGCATTCTACCTGGATACATCACGGCTTGGTACAGCAACTGCTCTGCCCAGGATCGTAAGAAACTACAGGGAGTTGTGAACACAGCCCAGTCCATCACACAAGCCAACTTTCCATCCATTGACTCCATCCATACTTCTTGCTGCCTCAGGAAGGCAGCTAACATTATCAAAGACCCGCCCCCAACCCCAGTTATAATCTCTTCCGTGTACCAACAGATTCAAGAACAGCTTCTTCCCCGCTGTTATTAGACTTCTGAATGGACCTCTCAAATTTCAAATCTAATGTTGACTTCGATCTTACTGCACCTTCTCTGCAGCTGTAGCAATGTATTCCTCACTTTGTTCAATCACTCTAAGGCACTTTGTACTGTACTGTACTGCACGCAAAACAAAACTTTTCACTGTACCTAGGTACATGGCACAATAATAAATCAAATCAAACCAAATTTAACAGATGTTGACAATACTGATGTAATTTAAAGAAAGAATGAATTGTTCAGCACTATGTCTGAGGTCGATGCCATGGGGATTTGCAATATTTTTGTGATGTTAATGGCACCATATAAATTCAAGGCGTCGGTACTGCAGAGTGGAAATGATGGTATCCTTATTACTGTAGTTCGAGTTAGCTTATGAATCGACACAAGCAATCTTGTGTTTTCCTAGGCTTCCAGTAATGGAAGAATAAACATTCTACCAGACTGTGCAATTCAAGCTGCAAACTGATCAGGTCTATTCACCGTAAAACGTAGACAGGAGCAGAAAGTCAATACATCAGGTTTCACTTAATGATGGAATTTTTAACTTACCACCTCCTTGGATATATAAAACACAATGTACAACCTTATTTAATTCTTTTCATAGTATTAAAAGTAGTTCAGCGCTAGAACATAACCTCTATATGAGATGTTGTCTATCAGTGCAGAATCTCCAGCCTCTATTACTTTCGCTCAAATAACCTGGGGCGTTCACAAATTGTGATTCACTGCTTATTATTTTTGAAGCCAAATTGGAATTAAATGAGTGTCTTTGGTAGTTGAAGGAAGCTTACAAGGTTTAAAATAAGGCTTTTGTGGGCAGTGATAAAATCTCCACCTCTGAGCCAGGAGGCCCAGGTTCAAACACCATGTGCTCCAGACAGAGGTATGTAATAACATCTCTGAACAGGTTAGTCAGAAATTATTTATAAGATATGAAGTGATATAGAAAAGGCATAGCCATGCTAAATTGCACTTAGTACCTAGGGATGTACAGGCTAGGTGAATTAGCCATGGGAAATGCAGGCTTAGAGGGACAGGGCAGTCAGATGGGTCTGGGTGAGACGCTCTTTGGAGGGTCAGTAAGGATTTGATGGGCTGAATGGCCTGCTTCCACACCATGAGGATTCAATGATTTCATAATAAGATATATGTTTCATATCGTGATGATGCTGCGGTTTTAAGAGGTATATTTTGTCTTGGTTTAAGAGAGAGGTTGAACAAGAGGTGCCAAGCAGTGTGTGATGAAGCAAACAGCTTGTGAGGCCTTGGGTTTTGTTTTTAAAATGTTGGAACAATAGAAGCAGCCTAGATGGCTGTGGCCAGCTCTCTCAGACCGGGATTTCTGGACTTTTTGTTTCAGTCCTTAAGGTGTACCTTTCAGATTTAGCAGTTGCTGTTTTGAGCTTGAAGAAGTAGAAGCAATTTTCTTTTCCTTCTTGCAGTTACAGCCAAAAGCTGGGGGTTCTCTTCCTAGGCAGCCAGATTGTATGTGAGACAAAATCTGTTTCTGAATTCGTCTTTTTGCCAAGGGCTGTGTTTGTGGGATGTTAATATATTGGAACAGCTAATTAGTAATAGTCATTGTATCTATTATTCTGTTAAGTTTTCCAATAGGGTCGTTATTCTAAATTCCTTTTTTCTGCTCCTATGATGCTGCTTGGCCTGCTGTGTTCATCCAGCCCTGCACCTTGTTGTCTCGGATTCTCCAGCATCTGCAGTTCCTACTATCTCTCCTCTTCCTTTTTCTTTGGTTGTGTTTTAACTATAGTGTTTGAATAAATGGGGTTTTGCTTAACATTGAGCAGTTTTATCCAGTCAATTGCATCTGGAACACAACACATTGCATTTGCCTTTAAAATAAGAAAAAGTTAGATTCTAGGCTGCCTTCTTAAAATATTTTGAGGGGATCTGCTCTGGTCCATAATAATATACTATAGGCCTCTCAATAGCCAGCCGAACAGACCTACAAGCAGATCGTGAAAAGATATAAAAGCAACAGCATTGTTGTAATGGGTTATTTCGACTTCCCCAAAATTGACTGGGACTCTTAGTGCCAGGGGCTTCGATGTGTTAGAATTTGTTAGGTGCATCCAGGTTTCTTGAAACAAAATGTAGATAGTCCAGCTAGGGCAGGGGCTGCACTAGACCCTGTTTTTGGGAATGAGCCTGGCCAGGTGATTGACGTTTCAGTGGGGAGCATTTTGTAAATAGTGATCGTAATTCTGTAAGTTTTAAGATAGTTATGTAAAAGGATAAGACTGACCTACAGGCAAAAGTGCTAAATTGGAAGGTGGTGAAGGTGGGTTTCCAGCTAATTACAGGATCTGGCGAGATTCGATTCGGGTGGCTGTTTAAGGGTAAATCCACATCAATGGGAATCTCTTAAAGGCCACTTGATCAGAGTTCAGGATCTAAACTAAAATTAAACAATGTCCTCGAGGAGTGAAAAGGGAGTAGAAAAGAACTTGAAACAAGAATATAGGAGCACTAGAAGGGGCTATGAAATGTCCTTGCGAGTAGGATTAGGATTAAAATCAGACTTTCAGTAGCCAAGGGAGAAGAAAATAGGAACTAAAAGGTAATAGTCTTGGATTACAATGTGTCAACAAGAGTGAAGATAGATCAGATAAATGCAAGACTTGAGGCATAATGTAGGAAGGACTTCAGATTCAAGAGGAATTGAGACTAACTCTGGGGCAGAGGTTACATTTGCAAAGAGATGGGTTGCACCTCAATAGGACTGACACCTGTACCCTCACATGGGTGTTCACTAGTATAATTGAGGTGGGTTTAAATGATATTAGCAGGGTCATGGGCACCAACATATACATTCAGAAAAGAGGAATAAAATGCGTAAAGGAGTGAGTACTGGATAGTACTAATGAAGGAAGCAACACCCTTTTAGATAGGAGCAGGTCAAGGACAATTACAAAAAAGCTACCAGACTGGTTTAGAGTGCATGTTTGTAAAGTGCAATAAGTGACAGCTTTGATGAGCCATTAACATGAAAATATCCATGTGGGAATATGATCCACGGACAATAACAGAAACATGGTTTAATAATAATGCAGATAACAAGGTGTAGAGCTGGATGAACACAGCAGGCCAAGCAGTATCAGAGGAGCAGGAAGGCTGATGTT